TTATACAAAAAAAATGCAAAGGGCCTAAGTGGTTACCTTAAAATAAAAAAAAAAAAAAAAAAAAAACAAATATTGTATTTGTTATATAATTTTTATCAGCTATGCATAGGTTATAATAGTGCCTTCAGGGTTTTAGATTTCTTTTTATGTTTTTTCTTTTTCGCAATTAGTGTTTCTTTTTTCTTTTCTGTTTTTTCTTTTTTTTTGGTTGTTTTTGTCACTCTTTGTTGAAAAATTTTTCCTTTTTGTCTCATGCCTCTTGAGAAAAAGAAAGAATTAGAAGGGAAAAAAGAGATTCTGACACGGTATACAACAACCTGTCAAATGATTGAGGGGGTATCCTCTGATGATACAAAATTTAAAGAGTTTTAGATCCCGAGTGAGACTAATAGTTGTTATAGCAGATCGTATTGGATAGTACTTAGATATATTTGGTGAGTTTTTATTAGATTAGAACTATTTATTATATAAAAAACATATGTACTTTGTTATAGTGGATTCACATAGCAGTTCACAATAATAAAAGCAGGATCGCTTAAAAAAAAAAAAAAAAAAAAAAAAAAAAAGATAAGTTAATCCCAAATGCTAGCAAAAACAATAATATTTGTCTATTAAAGTCAAGAATTGCTTAATGAATTGATAAGAGTAATGGTTTTACCTATAACAGTACTGAAATTTCTTATAAATTTAAATTGTTAATTTATAGAACTCATAATGGATTTGATTTACAAACTTTTCATCAACAATATAATAATCAAGGACCTACTGTAGTTGTAATGAAGGTTGCCAACTCTTCTGAAAATATTGGTAGACATAATTCTATAGAACAAAAAGTGAGTTCAGGGCATTCGAAAAGTAGAGAAAGTTTTTTGTTTTCATATACTCTACAACTATATAAATTAACAGATTGACTAATAGAACAATTAGCCAAACCAGTAGCTAAATATTTAAACTCCAAGCATTAGCATATATAAAACATGCATTAAACAAATTGAAAAGCAAAACCATACCTTTGGCCATTTAAGCAGCAGACTAAATGCTAGAAAGATTAGAGAATATAGATATCTAAATTGTCTATCTTAATAAAAAAAGTAATTTTAGCATTTAGCCAAAATTAATTTTTATATTTACTAAAAATTATTGCCAAAATTTTTTAAGCTCTTTTCATCAAAATACATCATATTATAGTTATTTTGAAGAGTTTTATAAAAAATTTAGCAATGCCAAAATATTTATCAAAAATACAATTTTTTAAAAGTAATTTAGACACTCACAGTTATATTACTCAGTTTTATTAGTTCTTCTTTAATATTATTTTAAAGTAGTCAAAGCTTTTCTCTTGTCAAAAAAAAAGCCTGTATTAGTTAGTTCTTGCAAATTAACTTGAAAATAAAAGCAAAAATATATTTTATTAACAATTGCCATAGTTTGACTGAAGTCATATTACCAAAAGTAAATAAATGATTGCTCTTAATTGGTGGTATTATTTTTTTCACTAAAGATATACAAAAAGGTAAAAATACTTAAAAAAATTTATTATATAAAACTATGAGTTGCCAATTAACAATATAGTTTTTCATAATAAAAATTACTTTAAAAGTTTTTATTTATATTGTGTAACTCAGAAATTTTTGAGCTAATCAAATCAAATGTCTGCTATACTATGCTAGAACTAATCCTGATGATATGTATTTAGAGAGATTTGGTTGTATAGCTTATTGCTAACACTTTTGTAATTGGCTTAAATAAGGATTTTGAATTACTATTTGATTTTCAGAAATATAGTTATTCTTATAAATTTTGAAACAAACTAAAAATTTGCTTAGGTTTAAATTTTTTTTAGTTTTGTTTTATAGATTATTTAAATTTTTAAAAAATATATTGCTATTTCTGAACTAAAGTTTTAAAAACAATGATATGATAGGGTGTAGTGACTTAGTGAAGTAATTAAGTTGTCACTCCTCAAGCGGCAGGTTTAAAGTTCAAATCCCAGGGACGACAAAATTGAAAAATGGATCTGTGTTCGGTATGATTATCTGCCAATCGGTTATTTGGTACACTATCTAGAATAGAAGCTTTGATGTACGAAATCCAAATAATCAGGATGATCAATATCCATTTGGAAGCCCCGAGTAAGGAGTAGCCAAAACTTTCAATGGTGCTACAGGAAAGACCGAATTTGAAAGTTAGAACTGAGACTGATGAACCGAATGACAAAAGATCCTTAAGTGGGAGGATCCACTAACTGAACCGCCAATTCGGAAAAACCAAAAATTGACAGACGTACATGGTGCACACCAACCAGGTTGCTAGCTTGGGAAACCGGTAGCAGGAGGCCCTACTCTAGCGAACTGAGAATTGGAAGACATGGGTCATAAGACACAGGTCAACAAAATAGGCTGGGTACGCTGGAGGACTGGGAACTTCTGAGTTGGAGAAAAAGGACATATGCTACGAAAATACAAACCAAGATGAGACGGGCCAAAGGCACTTAGAGCCGGGTCAAAGTCGAACCTTCCAAGTTGCCAGTTAGAAGTAAGAGATGGACTGGTTAGGAAATAACAGAAAAAGAAAAGTCTGAATGTGAGTATCAGGTGGATAGTGAACCTTATAAGGGCATAGCAGTTACTAAGCTATACCACAAGTGGAACCTTCGGAGACTACGATGACTAGGCTGGCCAAAATAGAGTACAGAAAGCTCTAGTAGGTTTACCTCGAAGATAGCTATGGTATCTGCTCAATGGAGGAATGCAAGCCGGTAATTAGTCAGTGCAAACCCAAGATAAATCCACAGAAGTTCTAAGGCGGGATGTGAAATCTACCAAGAATGAGCTATAATTGTAGTAGTCCTGTAGTTAGAATGAAATGGTATATATGGTAAAGATCAGAAGGTTTAAATAAATAATCCCCTAGTTGGGTTATAGGTATGGCAGCTAGTGTAGAATCTTTGGCAGACTACTTAAATAGGCACTCAAAAGGTGCATGTGTGGCTAGTTGTATCTTCATTGTAACCAGTATCATTGAATTCTAATAAAAAGTCTCCCTTGGCCAAAGAGATCACCTTAATACTGAAAAAAAAAAAAAAACAATAATATGATTCTAAAAAGTTAAATAATCTTTAGAATAATTTTAAAAAGCAACCAAATTTTTAATTTGTTTTAAATTTTATAAAGATAGTTATAATAATAAGAAATATAAAATTTTTTTAATATCTTAACTAGGTTAGCCAGATTAGCTAAATTAACCAGATTATTTGAGTTAACTAGGCTATTATTTAGTTAAAAATTTGTTATATAGATAGATTATTCAAAGTAGAAATTTTATATAGATTTAACTTCTATTTATATGTAATATATGAAATTTTTAAAGTAACTACAATTTGCTTATCTTTAGCTTTGAGTACTATGCTTACTTTGAGTAATACTAATGAAAAAACAAGGAGTTACTTTATAAAAGAAAAGATAGTATTAATACTAGATATAAATATACTAAGATTAATTAATTGCCAACCCAGATAAGATTAGCACAATAGCTATATTATTACTATATTTGGAATTAGAGATAAACAAATATAGTATATAAATAAATCTGTTTTAGGTACAATAAAAAGTTTTTTTTATACTAAGTAAATATTTATTTTTGACTTTAAGTAAAGTTGTAAAGCAGGTTCTTGCACACCTACTGATAAATTTTCAATAAAATTAGATTTGTAGATAAGAAGATATGAGTAAAAATATCTTTAAAATTCTTTAAATCATATAAAAAATATGTATTAGTAAATTTGTTTTAGGCATAATAAAAACTTTTTTTATACTAAGTAAATATTTATTTTTGGCTTTAAGTAAAGTTGTAGAGCAGGTTTTTGTATACCTACTAGTAAAATTTTATTAATATTAGACTTGTAGTAAGTAAAAATGTCTTTAAAATTTTTTAAATCATATAAAAATTTTATATATACAAGCTCACTTTAGATACTATATTGTTTATCTATTTGTTTTGCCCCAATTCTAAATATAGAAATAGTGCCAATCTTATTTGAATTGGCAATTAAATATATAGATAAGATTAGTTAGAGAGTTTATCTTTTAGCAAATTATAGATATAGCTTCTAGTGTAGAATCTTTAAACAAACTACTTAAATTAAGCAACCAAAAGTTGTATATATAGCTAGTTATAATTACCAATCTATTATATAATATACAGCAAGATTATACAAGAAGACAAACACTATGTGTCAAATGTTATAAGATAAACACTATAAGACAAAAATACAATTTGATTAGCTACTGCTATAACATATGATTCCTATTATTGTTATATATTGATGTTAAAATTGAATAGTCATGGATACTGTACTGTGTAAAGAACTAGGTACATATTTGGGATATATCATATTAAAATTAGTAAATCAATATAAGTATACTATAGGTTTTGTTCAGTATATTAAAATTAGTATTTACTGTCTTCCTTCTATATAGTCACCTCCTATATAATTACATCATAGCAAAACTCTTTTTATAATTACGCCAAGGCCTGCAACACTTTACTAATAAACTTATAAAAAAATACTTCTTTATAAGCACATCATAGTAAAAAGTTTTATACAATTATATAATTTGTATGATATAAACTATGTGATTATAAAAGAAAATGACAGTACTATATATATTTTATAATAATTTTTTTGTTTTTAAATTAACTAAATATTTTATATTTAAATTTTGAGCAATATGACAAGTTAGATGCTAGTATAAAATAAGACCCAAGTGGTCAACTATATTAAAATATTAATAAACTACTAGTTTCTGAATATTAAAATAAAATAAAAAAAACAATTATATTAATATTTATATCTTATCTCTTAATTGGTAGAGATTTGCAGGCAAATTTGCCTGCATAATTACTATAAATATGTCTCTGATTTACTTTTT